ATGTCTTTTATTTATAACTTGCTTGTTTATGCATAATATTTAATAAAAAAATAATAATTTCAACACTTCTATGTGTATAAAATAAATGCTCAAATTCGCAAAAATATATATTATTTAGTTTTTTCTAAAAAAAAATCAACAAAATCGGCCTTTTTTGGCCTTCTACACCAGGATACCCCCTTAAGGGGTTACACTGTTTTGAGATTTTCAAAAAACCGAATTATTTTTTTTGCCTAGACAAATTCTTTACACTTTTAAGAATATTTCTTTTAAGAACTTTCTAAATAAAAAAAAATAAGTACATTATCAGCAAGAATTTTCAAAAGAGGGTCCAACTTGATTGCTAACATCTCCGTCATTTTTTTATTTGTTATTATTTGAAATTATTCATAAAACTACTATTTATATGTGTAAAATACAAATTGTTTTATTGTTTTAACATCTGCGTCAAAAAAATGTTTTTATACCTATTTTCCGAGCACCAAGATGATGTAAGCCTTAAGGGGTTACAATCTATTGTAAATGCACAAAATATATGTGTTATCATTGTTTGACAAGCAAAATTTGCAACGAGAACCGAATTTTGCAGGCTGGCGATATAAATTTGTACTCACTTGACGCAGCCTCTGCTATCTTGTAGTTGCTTCAGCGCTAACAGGCTGTGCATGCAAAGATAATACTTGTAAAATAAAATGACTAACACTCAGGCTTTTGTTAATGAAATTTGCGACATTCAGTCTTTCGCAAATTTGTGAGGATTCCATTTTAGATTTCATTTTTTGTACGCTCCAAAAGAAAAAATCCAAAGGACTGAGATCTGGAGACTTAGTTGGCCATAACATTGTCCTAATATTTGAAGTAACCTTATTGTTAGAAATTCTTCTTAAATATTTGGTCTTTGGTGAACTATTGTGTGCCATATAACGATCAGGGTGAAACCAAATGTGGTTTTTATCTTGTACATTTCGTCTGAGAGCTGGTAGGTAATTTATGTCGCTGGTAAGTAGGTAAACTATATGAATTCTCATTATTCTTGTGTTTTTGAATCTCCAAAAATAAGCGAGATAAGGCATGAGTAACATATAATCAATCAATCCTGTACAACTTTTTCATTCATGCCCATAATTTTTTTTTGTAGATGTTCCTGCAATTATCGAGGAAACGATGACATGAATAATCATATCGCCGTTCCGGAAGAACAGTGACGTAAATGCAAAAACCTTTTTTTTTTAATTTTTTTTCTGTAAAAACAATTTTACAGGAGAGTAAAAAACGATTTGCAGTTGTATAAAACGTTAAATTGAAAAGGGTGTAAGTGACAGAAAATAGTGGTATATTGAGAGTATGTAGAATATATACTTTACTTTCATTTACCAGGGATTATGATTTAATCACCCTAATTTCAACCCTAAATTTCAACCGATCAGTGCAGTTACGTCATTGTTTCTCTAAAAATTGTTCGTTGTTCTAGAAGACACAAACTGTCGTAATTGTTAGTTCGCTCAGCGATTTCATAAAATTTTCACCGCTGAACAAAAAAAAGAACTTTGAAAGCTGTTTTATTAAAATCATACATTGACTGGATGCATGTATCCTTGCAAGGAGGATCCATCTTCCGAGAAGCTACGGTTTTTCCTGTTCTACCTGTATAACTTGTCCCTGCGTTCCTTAACATTTTAGCTTTTACTTTGCGCCAGTTTTCGACATTTCTTGTTCTTTTTTCCCCCCTCACTGTTGGATATCGTTCACTGAGTTGTGTCTCATCTCGCTGGTTCTCTGCATTGTCGGTATTAGAGGTTAATGGAGGAGAAGACGATGAATTACTGCTTGAAGATTCATCACTACTTGATGGATCATACATTTCACCTGAACCTGATGAAACTACGTCATTAGATTCATCCGAAGTGGTACAGTGCTCTGAGGAGTCCAATTTTTTCAAACTCACAGTTGTTGGAGTTGACTGCACAACATTCCATTGGATTGATCCATGATTGGATTTATCATGGTGTGACGTTGACGGTGAGATATTTGTGACCTGTGTTGAGATTGCACGCATTTTGTGGTCATTTGACGCAGAATAAGAATTCACTTCGTCATTCTAATCATTCATTATTTCACAAGCAAGCCGCACAATTTTTCTGGTCCGTTCGCTCATTTCAGCCCTACAAAAAAAAACTCTAATTGCAAATACCTATCTAACTATTTAATCATCAGTAACGTTTAAATAATTAAAATACTAATTGATTTAAGTAAAATAAAAAAAATAATTCATATTGTGAATTGAAATTTATAACTGCCTTCGAGTCAACACCGACGTTAAGAACAGTTCGTACACCGAAATACACAAACTCATAGGTTCAACAACGGCAAAAAGAACAGTTATGCCAACAGGTGTTGTTACACTAGAATCTAGAAGTGGAAGTCAATCCAGGTTTTTGTCAGAAACTACACTTGCGTCACCGTGGCATGGGACACAACTACTCTCACGTCACTCTTGAGCGCACCTGAGCCATGTGGCGTTGTTCCATTGAACGAAGGTAACAATAGCTGATATTTCGTCCATGACGCAACTACCCTCTGGTCAAGGGCGTAGCCAGTAGTTATCTTTGGGGGGGGGGGCGCTCAATGCAGATGAAACAAAAAAGGCAAAAAAAAAGGTCACTACAGCCAAGGGCAACCGCATTCCCCCGAGTATTTCGGTGTTTACTTGACTTTGATCGCCAGGTGGGGCCTTGCCTCTGGCGGTCCTGGAGTGGAACTACAGTTACGTCCATGTTCCCCTGTGTATGGGATGTGTTTCTGATGTTGTCTATGGACTTATTTGCATTTGACACATTTTTGCAGTTACGTCATTGTTCTTCCGGAACAGCGATATGTAGTCTTTTCTTAATTTTTTGGAACTGAATAGAACAACTAGTTCAGAATTAAAAAAAGAAATATTGAAAATTCTGGTAACCGATGAAAGAACGACCCCTCGATGCTCTACCGACACGTCCACGAATCCAGACGGTCTGCAAAGCGAGTTTTATGCGGCTGCCATTGTAGAATAATGGCCGCCGATCGGGACGGGCGATAACGACGAGGAGAAGGTCCCGATCGTGGCCCGATTCGCACTGATTCGTCTTGGCCGCCGGCGACGGTGCTTTATCGTCGATCCCGGCTGATTTTTCAGGTCAACCGGCCGTTATTCTTTACACTTGTTCTATAAAAGATGAGCCTCTTATTCGATTAGCATCTCCGCGAGGGACTCTCCGTTCACGCCCGCTGAATCTTCGTGCCGCATCTATTCGGAATCCGCACGAAATCGCTGACACGGCGACGGACGTGACGGTTTTTCACACGAATTGGTCGATATTTCTTTTCTGGATGATCCATCGTACTCAGCTAGCCAAAAAAAAAAAAAAACACAGCACAATAATTCTTCAAGCGGTACATACCACTGATGTGCGCAGGAAGACGTCCTGAGCAAAAAAATCGTTGCCAAAGGAATCATTACTTCCACGTCCAATTTTTCCACATTTGATTAGACCAAATCGCAAAAAAAAAACATTGTGTTATGCTCTTAAAAGTGCGATATTTGGATATGATATTTAAGACCTCTATCTCAAAATTGAAATGCAGACCTTGCATTGTAATTACCTGTAGACAATAAAAATGTGTATTACCCCAATTTATCCCTCAACCCCTCAACCGATTAAGCTCAAAATATAATCAGTTCCAGACCTTGTCATGGTTCATACGTGTGCTAAATTTCAAGTTGATATCTAAACGCGATCTCGAGTTATTGTATACACAAAAAAGGTTGCAGACAGGCAGACAAAACAGGCAGACAGACATACAGATTTTTTTTAACCAACTTAAAATCTCCGCGTTTCCGGTCTATTTACTTAATTATTAATTATTGATACTATAGAGACCGTGCAAGGGGACTGGTGGCGCCATAACGGCAGAGTTCGTAAATACGTGCTGTGGTTTTTAAGTGGAGTTACACCAAGATTTCGCAGTTTCTGTTGTTTTAAAAAAAAATTATTAGCAAATACTACTTTATAATCCTTACTAACGGTAAGTATGATAAATTTCTTTATGAAAAACTCATAGTTTGAAATGTATAGATGGTGTGACATGATTCAAATCGATAAAACGTACTGAAATTGACGTTATGGTTTCATAGATGTCATCCATCGGGACAAATATTATTTTGGAGACCGGTTTTTCGGAAATCTTTTTTGAAGACGATTTTATCGATTCGATCCGATTCTATCGATCGACGATCTAATCCATTTTTCTCGTTGACACAATTTATTCGGGTTTACAGAGAAAGAGTAGTACTTGACATTACTTGTGGTTCTTGCTCGATTTTTGCAATTTATCACGCAACACACATCACCATATGATTTTTTGTTGCTCATCTTGTAGGTTAGGTTTTAAGCTTTAAAAGCTGGTTATCACGCATAACAGGCACTGCAAACTTCAAGTTGTTTACCGGAATTGATGCGCGATATTTGTAGAAATTAATTGCACTTTGTTAATATTACGTTAAGTCTTTAAAAATATAAACTGAAAACATAATTTTTCTACGTAAACTATATGACAATGACATGCAACAGCACGTAGTTTACGCCTCGGCCACCGTGATCGCTGATTGTACAAAATGGCGAAACCACGCCTCTCTGCACGGTGTCAATACTATACATTTTTCACCACTATGTGGAAGTGGAAGTAAAGAAAAATGTTTCACTGTCAAGCAAGGCTTACAGCTCTTGACGTTATCTGTGACTATCAAAAGGCTCTTACCCAAGCGAAGAGAAACTTATATTAAGTCTAAACATCTGTCTGTCCGTCTGTACGTCTGTCGGTTAATATTATTTATTTATTTATAATAAATAATAAATAAGTAAATAAATCACACCACAGAAATTGACATTCTCCCTTTAAGAGTCATTACAACTGTGCAGAGGGAGACGTAGGATAAACAACCAAACCCTGTGACAGGTGCCAATTGCCACAGGCGGGATTCGAACCCGCGCGGATAATCGCCATGTACTCACCTGGCGCTTTATCCACTGAGCTATCGCCGCGGCTATGAGGTATTTATTCATTCATTCATTCATTCATTCATTCATTCATTCATTCATTCATTCATTCATTCATTCATTCATTCATTCATTCATTCATTCATTCATTCATTCATTCATTCATTCATTCATTCATTCATTCATTCATTCATTCATTCATTCATTCATTCATTCATTCATTCATTCATTCATTCATTCATTCATTCATTCATTCATTCATTCATTCATTCATTCATTCATTCATTCATTCATTCATTCATTCATTCATTCATTCATTCATTCATTCATTCATTCATTCATTCATTCATTCATTCATTCATTCATTCATTCATTCATTCATTCATTCATTCATTCATTCATTCATTCATTCATTCATTCATTCATTCATTCATTCATTCATTCATTCATTCATTCATTCATTCATTCATTCATTCATTCATTCATTCATTCATTCATTCATTCATTCATTCATTCATTCATTCATTCATTCATTCATTCATTCATTCATTCATTCATTCATTCATTCATTCATTCATTCATTCATTCATTCATTCATTCATTCATTTATTTATTTATTTATTTATTTATTTATGTATTTATTTATTTATTTACATATCCAACAGGCTGAGCCCAGTTACAGGATAGATTTCATTATATATACTAAATTATAGACATCCAAAAAAAAACGCCATCAACTCTGGCTATGAACGAGAGAGATGGAAATAGCGGTCATGTCTAAGCTTTTTGGTTATGTCAAACTTTTGACAAGTGACTGCCACAATTTGTAATATAAACAATGGATGTCATATGATGTAACAGTCTTGACAAGTAAATTAGGTTATAAATTCGATTAATGATAGAAATACTTTTTTTTCTCGGCCAACGTTGATGACGTTTTTTTTGGATGTCTCTATATATATACTGTAATTATATATAGTATACTAAAATAAAACAATATATTTTTGTTATGAGCTTGGAATACTTGCATATGAAATAAAAAATAATTAGTGGATTAAGTTACAGGAAACAGAAGAACAAAGCGCAACTGGTGATAAAGTTGTTTCGGAAAATTGTTTCTCGTCGGTGCTGTGTACCTTAAATAAATGAAAAAATGGGAAATAAAGCCATCAACTTTTCTTTAGTCTGTTTTTTCAAAATGTTACTTGTAACTTTTGATTTATTTATTTATCAGTTAATAACTTCTCGTTTTTATTAAATTCTATCCTCTATTATTAACTTAGTTTTACCGCATGCGCATATTGGACATTTTTAAATAATAATTAATAATCATACATTTTTACGATCACAGATCACCGAAAATATCATCTGTTATAAACAAGTATATGAACCGATTGCTACGTTCTGCAGAAGTAATTTTTACGATAATTACGATGTTGCCAAAAAAAAAAAAATAATGAAATGGAGACATTGAGATATGAAATGAGATACGAATTACAAATAATGTTTTCGTAAATCTGAAAGTTTCCGGTAGCGTTCTCTGTCAGTTCCAGCCCTACTCGATTTCATAAGCAATAAAATTAAGCACAAAACGTTTCGAGAAACAGGCAACCCGAGATTAAATTTTTCATTAAATCATCGGTAAACAGAGAAGATTCTCCGCGAGTGTCCGACTCCCCCGTCTTGCCAATTAGGCCAAGTATTTGTTTTTCAGATACGCACCGCTGGAAGAAGCCCGTGTTATTCAAAACAGCGCCGTACGAACGTCATATCTTGGGGGATGTCTGAACAAAAAAATCACAAGTGAAAATTCCATCCGCGTAATTTTACTGCATATTGTTTAAACATTTCCAACTACAATTTTTTTTGTGATCATTTATTCTAAATTAAAAGTCGTGGTATTGTAAATTATTTTTAAAGTGAAAAATTATTTAATAAAAAGGTCGATTTATCATATAATTTGTTTCAATAAAATAAGGTTGCATTGGGAATGTGGAATTTAGGAATATTTATGGAAGGAATATTTATGGTAGTAATGGTTATCAGCAGGTCGTTGATTATCAATTTGATGTCAAACATTTAATCCTGGAGTGGGTACTGGAACCTTCGGCGTAGAAACAAAAAACTGGACGTTTTCCACGAAACACCGAACTACTACACTTTTCTCGACGCGCGTTTCGCCAACCAAGTTGGCATCTTCAGGAGAAGATTAAACCTGAAGGTTTAATCTTAACGCGCGTCGAGAAAAGTGTAGTAGTTCGGTGTTTAGTGGAAAACGTCCGGTTTTTTTTTCAAACATTTAAGTTCAAAATGGCGGCTCCAATATGGTGACTTTTACTCCCCTTTCACGAGGGAAATAGTTGAATATTCAAAGCAAATTCTTGAATATTGTTATTGCTTGGTTTCTATGTCACTGAATTTTACATTTTCAATATGAGCTTGCTACCCGATCATAAAATTATAACAGCAATCTATTTTACCATTGAATAATACCGGGTTATGGGGTTTTGGGGTTATAGGATGGTAGTATTATGGGGTCACATATGGTGTTATGGAATTTTGAGGGTTAAAGCAGTAGAATTATGAGATTACAGAGTCAGATGATACCACATTTTATAGGTTCTGATGTCTGATGTATAAAATCCAAGTGTTTATATTTCTTGCACTACTCTGGATGACGGGGTTATAGTGATAGGGTAAGGGGGGTGAATGGTCGAGCTGACATTCAGGTGTATAGATTAATATGTCTGATGCCCGTTTCTCATGCCTCAACATTCCTTTGACATATAAGAGAAAAATAACCACCACAAACTTTTATCCACCATATCTCGAAAACGAGAAGTCGCCTCAACTTGAAACTTTCTAAATGTTAAGGTTTCATCATACGCTAAAAAAAACATAATTTAGCACACGTTTATAATTCAGTTTCGAATTCACTATTTTTGGGGTCCTTCCTTTAAACAACGAACAATTTGAACTGAACATTTAAGCAAGGTGCCTTGAAGCGTTAGCACCCTCATATCACCCCAGTAAATACGGCCCCATAAAATTTAAAAATGCTCGGGATTAACCGTTGCTGTCCTGCCAGGGAGCGGATTTATTCGTGTAACGTCTGTTGCAAATAGAGGGAAACATTTATTCAGAACGCATTTATAACAGATTTCTTATTTATACAGGGTTTGGTAAAAGTCTGGAATAATGTGTAGGTATACCTTTTTGACCCATATAAAAAACCTGAAATTACGACTAAGTATAATAAAGAACGGTCAAATAAGTTAAACGACCTATTTAACATTGTGTAGCATATCGTTTATACCAACATCTAATATAACGATATATCGGTTTTTGCGACGAATTTTAAAAGTCCCGGCCGGAAATAATCCTTGTTATATGTGAAACTTATCGTTTATAACGTCGTCAGATATTACGACGAAACTAATATAATGACGAAATATGTAGTGAAATGTTTGGTCAGATTATATCGCTTATAGGGTTGTGTAACAAAGAAATTTTCAAGCCGGTTTATTACTTAGAATGCTGGCAGATAAAACAATGAAATTTAAAGGAGAAAAGTGTGTTGGAGGCAAACTTTCCAAGGAAAGATTGTTCTTGTTGCAGCAAATATGATTGGGCCGAAAAAAATAAAACTTGTGGTTATTGGCAAAGCTATGCAGGCTCGATGTTTTAAAAATCCCTACCTGTACCCTACCCAATAAACAATGAATTTTCAGTAATTCAAACAGTCTTAAACAGATTTTGCTTTGCTACATTAAGTTGTCGAAAGAAACTTTTTAGAAAACAAACTACTACTAGAAAACAAACTAAAATAACATATTTTTTGATTAAAATTTAATTAAAACTAGTTCAGTATTAAGTTGTTTGTAGAATTAATTTGTAAGTACCAAATACATATTAAAATATATCGTTGTTTCAGCTTTTTTGTACCCATGTATGTTTAAGTGTACTCTTTTGTATTATGAATAAAGACCATTTTTGAGTAAGTACATCGTGTTTGGATTTAGCGACCTCCGGTTATAACGACCGAATTTCGCCGGCCGATTCAACGTCGTTATAAACGATATACATATACTGTATATCGTATGCAGATCAGTGGGGTGATTAAAAAAAATTGAAACTCATCGAGTGCAATTTAAGATAATTGAAGACAGCTAGAATAAGTAAAAAATAAGTCAAACACATGGTTACAAAGATATACGCATTACTTCAGACTTTTGCTGGACCCTATATGCGGAAATTATATTATTTTTGCTTTAGTATAGTATACTCCAAAGTTTTGCTGTAAAGCTTTGTTAGTACGTTCCAAGAGGTTCCTTTTTCTCGGCTTTTTTATCAACAATTTTTTAAAACGTTTTTTTTGCACATCAAAATCTGGCCGAAGAAACAAATAATTACTGGCGAAATGTCAAAGTTCGAAACACAGAACTGAAAAGGACACGTGCGCATTATACTTTTCATGCGTTATCCTCCAATTAAGCAGAACTTTCATCCGGCAAATTCCTGTCGATATCACGGGATTCCGTAACAGAACAAAGCCTTTTTTCCCAACGTAAAAAGCGATCCAATAATGTAAATCAATTAAACGGTAATTCCTCTCTCGTGAGACCTTTAGCAGGAAAAAATGGCACGGCCGACGTAGCGTTCGGTCTTTGCCAGCGCCAAATCCAGATCCAAACCTAATTATTCGATTCGATTTGGAGGAGAGATGCGTGAGAAGAAGGATCGGCCGGATCGCAAGACAGAGCACGGGCCGGGTCATCAGCGTCAGTAAAATTAATTACCTTTCTTAAATCTGAAATTTTTCGTCGATCTCCGAGGACCCTCTACCCTGCAGTGGCGTGGTACTCTTAAGGACTCCACAGATTATTAATTTGGTCATCACATTTGATCGAACGGTTTTGACTGATGTGATAAACGGATGGTGTGTAGTGATTTTATCGTTCAGTATTAGACCGATCAGTCTGACTGACGAACTGAAGTTAATTCCATCGATTTGTATGTCTGTCCAACTGAACGAAATCGAAATTTCA